TCCAAGGTGTGTTCTCTGTGCTGTCCAGGGCAGCAGACTCTAGCAAATGTCACTACTGAACGCCTGAAATATATAAATAAATATGCACATTGAACTTCAAAGTCTTACTATGAAAAAGTAAACTATCTCATTTTTTATTGACTACATGCTGAAATTATGTAATAATATTTTAAGCACATGGTACTCAATATCATATACTGTCAAGATTACTTTACTTTTTATTTACTAGAAAATTTAAAATTATCTAGTGACTTGTTTTACATCTCTGTTGTGCAACACAATTTATAGTCCTTACAGGCTTTCTGGGTATAATTGTCCACAGTGAGAACCTGATCATTACACAGCCTTTATCAAGTTTCCTTCACTTCCCAAATCCCTCACTGTGCTTCCTGGGATCACATCAACCACTTATATCCATTTCCTTGTCTGATCCTTTGCATTTGGAGAAACCCATGCTAATACAGTGATCACCATGAAAGATTCCTTCTGACAGGAGTTGAAGTGGAGGAGCGAAGAATAACACTGTTTCCCTGAAAATAAGACCTCCCTGGAAAATAATCAGCCTTGAAAACTGGAGAGCAAATATGCCAGCCATGAATAAATACAGGAAAAAATGTTCAACATCATTGGTCATTCAAGAATTGCAAATTAAAACAACACTGAGATTCCATCTCACCCCAGAATGGCTATCTTCAAGAAATCAACCAATAACAAATGCTGGAGAGGCTGTGAGGAGAAAGGAACCCTACTCCACTGCTGGTGGGAGTGTAGATTGATGAAACCACTGTGCAAATCAATTTGGAGATTCCTCACAAAATTAGGATTGGAAGTCCCATTTAACCCAGCTATTCCCCTTCTGGGTATTTTCCCAGAAGAATTAAAGACATCATACCACAGCTATATATGTGCACCTATGTTTATAGCAGCACAATTTGTTATAGTTAAACCTTGGAAACAACCCAGATGCCCATCCACTGAGGAATGGATAAAAATGTTGTGGTATTTTTCTACAATGGAGTATTACTCAGCTATTAAAAAAGATAATCTCTATGCTTTTGAAGGTAAATGGATGCAACTAGAGACCATACTCATTAGTGAAATAAATCAGATCCAAATGGGTAAATATCATATTGTCTCCTTGGTATAGGAACCTGAAAGACTAGGTAAAACTCAAAATGTACAATAGACAATAGGAAAGGGAAAGAAGTTGCTGAAAGGAAGGAATGACTGGGATGAGGGAAAAAAGAAAAAAGAAAGAAGGCAAAATATAAATATATATAGGAATGCAATAACTGTATTGCTGATGTCTGATGGTGTATTGAAATGAACAGTTAATGATTACAAGTTCTTATGTTCTGATCGATTGTGCATGCTTGTGTCTGGTAGTCTGAGCAAATGATTTGAAGGTAACAATATGCAGTGGAATTACAATGGTGAACTCCTACCATCTTGTCTAGTGAAACTCTGTATTATCTCTACTGTTTTATCAAAGAATTATTTTCTTATTCCCTTTAATGGTTTGAGCAATCTTTCATTCTTACATCTGACAATCTGAGCAATGTAGTTGAGGATAGCAATATGAAATGTAACAACCACTGTTGATTCGTATTATTTTGTCTTGAGACTCTGTATCACTTTGAATGTTCTTGCTTTGATATATTTATGTTTGTGATACTGGTATGCTGCTACTGTTCTATTTCTTTGTTTGTTTCTTATTTACTACTCTGTTTAAAATTTTTAAAAATGCCAGCTGCAATCACCTTGGCTACTTTGACATCAGAGTGTGGTGACCAAGCAAGAGAATAGGGAAGTATAATCTTCTGCATGACACTGGCCATCACCATAGTAACAACCAGCAATTATTTTCCTATTAGGTCTTATTTTCAGAGAAACATGGGTGTTTTTTGCTACTAGGTGAGGAGAAACACAGTTGGAAACTTCTTCCATGGCTGACAAAATCTACCTGATAACATGAAATCATCTCTGAGTTTAAGAGGCAAACTGACTAAGGAAGGCTGACGAGCGTTTGTCAGATTCTTTTAATTGTGATTTCTTTCACAGTAAACCTGAGAGTTTCTCAAAAAACTTAAAGATAAATACATGAATAACACATTTCCTCAATTTATGAATGTCTTTAAGTGCTTTCTGTCATTATTTAACACTACAGCTTGAATTGATATAAATTTGAGGCATCGTAACATTTCTTCTTGAAAGTCTTATGAACAACGTCACTGTCTTCTGACAGCCTTTGCAGGCAACCTGCTTTTTCTGTGCTGTATTTCTTATATTTTTGTGATACCCTAAAAAGGTGTTTGTTCTTTCCCAGCTCCTGACAAGAAGTTCTGAAACCCTAAGACTCTCTGCAGACAGGAGTGTGTCTTTTGCATTCTAATAAGGTAACTAACTAGTGAACAGGGGACTAGATAGCTTCAGGGTCTAGCTGGTCACCAGAAAGACCATGCCTGGGTAGATGTTTGGACCTTTCACTGTCATCTTCCCTCCAAAAGAAACACCTCCGTGGGTGGGAAGAGGAGCTGAATATTGTTCATCACCAATGGGCAATGGCTTGCGTGCCCCCTTGAGAAATGCCCCTAAGCAAATGGAGTTAGAAGAGCTTCCGCATTGGTAAACACATTGAAGTGCCCATGGATCTCTTCCATTTGTTGACTCCAGAGTTGTAACTCTTGAAATAATTCAGCAATAATGAAGAACTTTCCAGAGTTCTGTGAATTATTCTAGTGAGTTATGGGACTTGTAGGAGAAGAGGCATGGGCCCTGAGTAGAAAAATCTGGACCCTTGAATGATGTCATGATGTAGAGCCATTCCCCCAGCCTGGAACAGTCATGATGTTCTGTGAAATAGAAGTACGCTATCCAATTTAAGGTGTTATATTTTTAAAATCTCTTTGTTACCACTGCTCAAACTATATACTACCTCATACCAAAGGGAAATGTACTATATGAAGAACATGGAAAGACATATAGAATTAAAATTAGAAATTTGTTATGTGGTATTTATACATAATGGAGTACTACTCTGCCACAGAAAGGATAAACTTGAGTCACTTGTAGGAAAACGGATGCACCCGGAGATCCTAATGTTCAGTGAAGTAATTCAGAAACACAAACTTAAATATCACTTGGTTTCTCTTATGTAAAAAACTCCATGCACCATGTAAAATATGAAATAAAAGACAGGAAATAGGAAAAAAGGGAAAGAAAAAGAAGATATTGTAACACAGTGCAGACAATGTATCTAAAATTGTACCTTGACTTAATACAATTGTCTTACATGCTTTATATGTTATTTGGCCTAATAGCCTGGCTTTCAATCTGTACAGCTATATGATCATTTTGTAAGGTCTTATAAATAAAATCTGATGCTGGAAAAATGAAAGAGGGGAAAGGAAACTGAAATGTGTCATGTACATGTACAACTCCTACAGTGAAAATAATCATTATGTACAGCAAATATGTGCTCCAGGCTTGATTGGTTAGGTGATGGGCTTTTGGGGAAGTGATTGGGTCTAACCTCATCAAGTGGATCAACACATCGATGAGATCATACATTGGTTGGCATTGCCGAGAGGTGCTGAAACAGCAGACGGGGCCTCTTTGAAGGGAGTGGATCATGGAGGCCTGACTTCAGGGACTATATCTGGTCCCCAGCTACCTCTCTGGCTCTCCCCGCTCTCTGCTTCCTGGCTGCCACAAGGTGAGCAGCTTTCTTCTACCATGATGCTTCTGCCTTGCCAAAGCCCTCAATGCAATGGAGCCAGCTGACCACGGGCTAAAAACCACAACACCATAAGCCAAAACAAATCTCTCCTCCTTCTAGTTGATTTTCCATGGGTATTTTGTTACAGGGATGAAAACTGACTCATACAGTCATCAAACGCTAAGGTAACCTCTGTATCTTCTGTTTTCCTCTGTCTTATACAGTACATGGTATTTTATATCTATTTCTTTTTGCGTATCTACTTCACCCCACTCCCTTTGAAGACTAGCATTTCATCCTATTTACGTACTCCATGGGAACATGACCATCCCACAATCCCCAAGTTTGCTGTTCCTCCAAAATTCACTAGTTTTCAAAAACAGCCCAATTCCAAATAATTTCTTCCACTTGGATCTGACATCTACATCAATCTCCAACAATGAATCCAACCAGTCACAATTCATATGTGGTTATAAGGCATGAAGAATATAGTACTTAACTGGGCATGATGATGCAACCCTATAATCTCAGTAGTCTGGGAAGCTGAGGCAGGAGAATTGCAAGTGTCAGCCCTGAAACTTAAGGACTTAGCAAGATCTTGTCTGAAAAAATTTTTACAAGGGCTAGGGATGTAGCGCAGTAGCCCAGTTCAAAGGGACTGGGTTCAACTCCCAGTAACACACATGCAGAGAGAGAGAAGAGACAGAGAGAGAGAGAGAATATAGTTATTACAGAAATCAGTTCATTGTGACCTTGATCACTTGAAAAAACATGAAATCTATATTTCCACATTCTATCTCTTGCTCATTTGAAAGCATTGCTACCCATAACTACCAGCTTATCATCACTATCACCAGTGCTACAGAGAAACAAGGACCAAGCTATACAAATTGATACAATCATTTCTTTCACACTTTTTAGCTTCTAGCTATACAGAAGGGATCCTCTCTAAGTACTTGAAGTTATTATGAGGAAACTTAGCTTGGGAGTAAATTTTCCAGTACTCAATAAAGTAGACTTGCGAGATTAAATACAGGATGCCCAGTAAAATTAAAATTTCAAATAAACAATGAATAATTTTTGGCATCAGCATGTTCCAAATATTGCATGGGACATACTCATACTAAAATCTTTTCATTACTTAAATTAAAATTCAATTGGATGCTCTACACTTATGTCAAGTCTGGCACCATTAATCTATAGACACTTCTCTTTTTCCTCAGTATCTACAGCTACTGTCTGCCTGTTGCTCTTCAGTGATACTATTCTCATCTTGTTCCAGGAGGTCTGCAATCCACAGGCTCACACGCTGCAAGGGCTCACATGCTGCACCCTTTGGATGAAAGAAGCTACAAAAGGAAGGCTGCCTCCTCCTTATGCTGAGCTATAACTATCAAACTCCTGCCTTGGAACAGGAATTTCTAACCGAGTACACTGAAGAGGTTGGTTCAAATGCCATTCCATCTCAACAAGGCCACTCTGACTTCTCAGTTCCATTCCATTAATAGCTTACCTGCAATGGTAGAAGGCCCTTGGTTTACTTTACTGGCATGCCACAATTAAATTATCAGAAATGGACGCTCCCAAATATAACCCCAGCATCATCTCCTTTCTCTAACAGAAGTGCCATTTGTAACAAAATTAATGGGTAATCCAACAAAATGTCTATCAGTCATTTACTTCAGATCAAACAATAAATTCAAACTCTCCTAGAGTTCATGGTCTGGTGGTACTAAGGAGTGGCTCTCCCAGTCTGTGCAATATACTAACATGAAGATGTTTAATGAGAAGGTTGGGCTCATATAAAGGATGTGATAGCTGATAAGCTGCCTATATCAGATGATCTACAGGTTATGAAAGACGACTTGGGCTGATGTAGGGCACAGCTATTGGAGTGTGGATTTTGATTCACTATCTTTTCCTGTCTGGAAACACCAATTCAGGAATTATGAAAGAGACTATAAAAGGGTTGTTGATAGGGGTTTGTATAGGGTTGAAACTTCTGCCTATGTTCTGAAGGTGTCAGAAAATTTGGGGAAAGACAGCTCTTTAGTTTTAAAAAAAGGTATTTTTGTAGGCTACTAGATTAAGCAAAGCAAAGGATAAGCTGGGAATTCAGATGCTTTGAAATAAAGACAAATGAATCTGTTTTGCCTTCCCAGTGCACAAATGCTATCCTTGAATAAATGTATAATGTTGGCTGGTTTTTTGGATATTCAAGACTATGAGACGGCAGGGTTGAGGGGAAAATGAACTAACACTCCCTACACACACACACACACACACACACACACACACACACACGACTGCAGCAAAGAGGAGAAAAAGACCAAAACAGCCTGCTTAGGGGCCTCTTGGAAGGGCATGAATGATAGATTCTAGGAGAAATGGCACTTAATACTTTATTTTTGGTTTCCTTCAATGAAAAGTAGTCTCATCTATGCTCATCATATACTGCCTCCTGTATGTCTCAGTAAAGAGTCATACACTGCAACAACTATGCTGTAAACAAGGATTAGGAGTCCTGCTGATCTTTGGGACATAAGTAAACAAGTGGGGAAGCAGCCAGATTAAATGTTTATAAGATGGCAATAGGATGAGCAGGAAAGTCTGAGCAGTCATCTCACACAGCAAAGTGAGCAGTAAGCAACTAAAAATAATATGCTTGTGTTTACTGAAGAATTTTCCCAGATTGTATCAAATGATCCAAATGATCCTCACAATGATCATATAATCTAAGTAATTTTTTTTCTGCTTTAAAGGTAGGAAAACGAAGGTGCAGAGATGTTAAGCTGACTAAGATCAAACAGTTAATAAGCAGCCATAGCCAAAGGTGCAGATTCTGGCAGGTTTGCCTTGGGCCAGTATCCTCTACCACTACCACCATTCTGTCTCTCGGGGCAGATTTGTGCAACAAGTTCCTATCCCATGTGAATTGTCAGAAATCCACAGGGAACTGTGATAACAGACACCATGGAGACTCAGGTCCTGCACATCACAAAAGCTCCTAGCCAGACAGAGAATATGAAGAGAGAACAACGTCCTAAACTTCATACTCCTCATGGTGCCTCTGTGCTTTATGCCAGGTAATAGTTCCCCTTCAAAGATCACAGCATAAATATGAGAAATGTGTGTGGGGGGTTAATCCTTAAATATCCCAGTATATATGAAGTATTAACTTTTTAAGATGTCATTTTTCCTACAGCAGCTTTACTCGTCCAATAGAATATTTGAATGATATAGTACCGGATTTTCTGACTACAAATACGTGACTTTAAAAATACTACAAGTGATATTAAATTTTGACTCAATCTAAACATAAGCCAGGTAACAAAATCCCCATTATTGCTTTTTCAGGACACTTTTATTCTGACTTAGTCTAAGGATTAGAGAACACATGCTCCAGGATCAAGTGAGATTGTAGAGATCCTGTTCCTGCAATGGTCTGGCCTTTTCCTTCACTGGATTGCTTATTTAAATGTCTATAATTTTCATCAGATTGCTTATTCAAATGAAATAGAACACAAAAACTTTTGTTGTTGTTTTATAGTGTACCTGATTTGAGAAGGCAAAATTCCATGTTCACCAAACCCTTCCTCGGACCTGTTGCGACTCTGTTACTTTCCCCAAATATTTGGTGTCCAACCCAGGCTTTCTGTGTCCATAGGATGGAAGGATTTTAGGAACCAAATCAGGAAGGTAAGTCCAGCAGGTTTTCAAATTCTCAGTCTCTTTTATTTGTTGCCTAATGAATGAGCTAAGGAAACCAGTATATAAGAGAAAAGAAAAGAAAATCCTTAGGAGAAAAAACAAGTATCTTAAAAATATATGCTGTGTAAGGACCATATTCAGCATTGCATTTACATCATTTTAACTCTATATTGTCTGTTGTATTAACATTGTAATGCTATTACTTATCCTCCTTTTAGGATTAAGAAAACAGAAGCTTTGCAGATTGTGTTACCTAACTGTTGTGATAAAGCAGACTCTGAGACATCCTCCTGGCATTGGAGTCCTTGGGCTCATCATTCCCTGCCCTTGAGCCCTACTGATGTCATTCTGTAAAGAAAAAATTACAAGAAATTTAGTTTAAAGATGTTCATTCCCTAGGTGAAGTAATCCCACCTATAATCCCAGCTACTTTTTGAGGCTGAGGCAGGTTCACAAGTTGGAAGCCAGTGTCGGCAACTCATGGAGACTGTATCAATAAAGAGGGCTGGGGGTGTAGCTCAGTAACAGAGTGATTGCCTCATATGCCTGTGCTTTCTTCAGCTGAGCACTCTGATGGGAGCCAGCTGTTATCTGGAGCTGTCCTGGGGAGAGGTCCACAGCAGTAGCAAAGAGCTGCTGTCTCCAGGCAATAGCCACTGAGGACACTGGCCCCGCCAATGAACAGTGACCTCGGACTCTGTCTTAGCCTGTTTGTTATGCCAAAACAAAACAGTAAAACACATTTCCTTCTCACAGCTCTGAAGGCTTAGTAGTCTAACGTCAAAGCGCTAGCAGATTTGATGTCTAATGCGGGCCCATTCCTCATGGATGCCACTTTCTAGCCATGTCCTTACATGGCAGAAGGGGCAAACAAGCTGCTTGAGGCCTCTTTTCTAAGGCCAGTGACTGCATTCTTCAAGGCTTTGCCCTCATGACACAATCATCTCCCAAAAGCTCCAACCTCCTAATCCCATCACCTTTGGAGGTCAGGATTCAGCATATGAATATTATAGAGATACAAACATTCAGACCAACTTTTTGCTAGCTGAGGCCCTGGCTGATACACTGATTGCAGCCTTGTGGGAGACCAAGAGCCAGAAGATCAACCAAGTTGTACCTAGGTTCCTGACTCACAGAAACTATGAGAAAATAAAAATGTTTGCATGTGTTATGAAGCAATAAATCACGAACACAGCTGGGAAATTCAAACATAGCTCATCTGGCTCAGAACATCATGTTTTAGCCCTCCTGTTCTACTGCTCTCTGTGACTTGGGATTGGTCCTTGGCTTCCCTCACAGAGGACGATGTTCACTGCGCTTTCTCCTGCTCTGAAATGGCCCAGGTAGCACCAAGACTCTAGTTCAGGGGTGAGGAAACTGTGGCACACGTGCAGTAGCAGACACGCAGATCCCTCTGTCTCAGCATGTGAGTCAAGTAGCCCCAGCCAAGGTTTGATAAATTATCAGCATGCACACAACAGCAAAAATCACATTCACTGTGCAAAAGCATGCCCAATGCAAACCTCTATCTTTCAATAAAAACCTGTTTGTATCATTGAAATCTCTGTTAGTGTATTTTTCGTTTACAACACACGATGGTAATGTATGAGTTGCTTTTTCTAAACTAAAATCTCAGTGTCCAGGTTTAATGACAGTGCTGGCACTCTGTGATAAATAAGTGGGCCTGAGGTTGCCGTCCGTGCACTTGGTGTCATCACTGCTCTAGCCCATAGCTCACAGCATAGCAACTCCTTCTCATGAACTAAAGAAAGAGTCCTATCCCCTTACCACTAGCACAAGCTCTGTCACTGGGGATGGAACTGTTATGATTCAGAGATGTCGATTCTTATTATCATTGCCCTGGTTTCTGTTTCTTTACTTTCTCTTTTTCACTGCTTTATGCTCCGTTTTGCCCATTTCATACTCTTACGCTCCATTTCCTCTTCATCTCTACTCTCTCCTTTGACCGGTTTGCTCCTGCCTCTGCTTTCACTTACAGAAGAAGGCACTGTTTACTTTCTGGAAATACTAGCATTTGTCTGCAAAGAACAGCTTTTTGGAAGCAGTGTCAGAAAGAAAAACACAGGTGGGGGTGGACTTAGGAGGGTGCAAAAGAACCCTCATTGGTAGGTTTTTTTGTTTTCGTTTCCGCCCACCTCCCATATCAAAACATCCCCTGCTGCAGTTAAAAGCCGTTGGCTACCCCAATTAAAGTGTTTTGCTAGAATCTGTCAGAAATAGTTCCAAGAGCACTTTTAAATTATTACATGTGGGTTACATAAGCACTGGGGACTTGTTAAAACATTCAACATATGACATGAATTGAGTCACCAAGCAGTGAGTCAGAGCTGTAGCTTTGCAGTGTGACTAACATGACCATCTGAGATCCAGGCACCCTGCAAAACAAAATATCTTAAGAAAGTCAATTAAACAATATATTTTGTTCCTTCCAGGAATCTATATTCCTGGCCTTTACAAAATGGCTATGCTTATTATTTGTTTGGATTAATTGTGCTTTTAAGTACAGTTATAATAGGGCCAGTTACATTACAAATTGGATACGGGAAGCACACGTAATTCCTTACTTGCTTTAAACCAGTATCCTCCTCAAGAACCCCACCCAGCGTTTCATGTAGAGGATGAAAAGAAACCTGATAAGCTATTCCCCTAAACCAAAATAGATGGTTTGACTTAAACAACACCTTTCTATATTTCTCTTGATAATTCAAGGTGCATTCTGGGTGCGACAGTTCTTCCTAGAGCTCTGCAGAACTTTAGCACCCTTTCCCCCGACCCTATCCCCACCTCTTTCCTCTACAAAATGCCAGTAGCAGCTGTATGGCATGAGGATAAAACTTAACCACCCTTACACATCTCCCAACACCCCACTGTAGGTCAATACTGCCCTAAACATTCAACAACAACCACAAACCCCAAGTAAGTCTCTCCCCCACCTTCTCTGCACATTGGCATCTGGGCTTTACAGGAAAAGGGATTTGTGTTGGTCCTTACATCAGTTTCACGTTCTCTAGGTCCTCTGGTCTCCAAGGCAATGGTCATTACTCATCTGGCTGCCTTTGTAGTTAATGTCAACAGCTAGTGTCATTTATGAACCGGTCTCCCTATAAAATCAACCTTGCTGGTACATGCTTAAAATGAGAAATATTTTTGAATGTGACATTTCATATATAACCATATTACATAGTGGATTTGTCCAATTATATTCTAGTGAAAAAAAGAAAATATTCTTATTTTCATAGCAGCAATTATTTTGCTATGAAAATAAGGAAGCCTGACAAAACTATTTATTTCTCAATTCTTAGGTGTTAGTGAAAATTAGATCCCAAAGGCATAGTTTACCAAACTGAGGACTTGAAATAGCTTAGGAGAAAAAGTAAAAGAAATAGGCTACTAAACTGAGGACTTATAACTGCTTGGGTGGGAAGCTCTCATATATCTGCAGTTAGAAGATTAAAATAATACCAAAAGTATCCTGAATGAATAATTACATTAAAATTTTCCTCATTAGTTTAGTAAGTGTACAGTAATTAAGTGTACTGTAATCAATTAATTATACTATGAGATCTTGGATCAAACAGTTGGAGTTGATGAAATATGCCTATTCCCAGACAGAAAAGAGTACTGGAAATTTTGGCCTAGTCCTCTGAGACAGCCTGAAATTTTCTAGTCTTTTATGGAAAAACACCCATAGTCTATTCTTATTTTAGAGTACCAAATGTAGTCTTTTCTACAGGATTCTGAGGTTGTCTTTTATGCAGACATAAAGACTAGCGATTGCCTAAGCTAAGGCTTTCATTCAAGTTTCAGAGGGAAGCCGAAATCTATGAGGTGACGTAGTTGAATGACTTCGGTCAACTGATTATAATGCCAATAATATCAGAATGAAGGAGACTAAAGTTCTATATTACGAGGGTCTAATCAATGCTAGCCTTGAATAAGAACTTTTTATGTGACAGTGAGGGCACTGACAAATCTTCAGAGCCTTCCCTTAAAATCCACTGTCTCTGAAATTTTTGTATTGACTTAACTTAGAGAAGGCTAAGAATTGCTTCTAATTTGACAAGGCTTCCTCTGAAACTCTTCAATGTTGTTGAGTTAAATAAGAAATATGGAGCATACCAAACAAACCTAATTATTTCTAGCATCTCTCTAGCAAGTATTTATTGTGGCAGACATAGAAACACATGCTTTGGATGTGCAGACTTTCACCTGTTCATTCTATAAGGTCTGGTTTGGAGTAAGATCCTGCTGTTCTTGAGGTAGCCCCACCAATGATCAAGTAAGACTGTGGTAAAGAGCTTATATTTTCACCTTTTGGAGGACTCTTCTAATAGGTAATCCTTGCTCTGGGCCACTCTGTTGCACTTAGAGAAACTTTGCCAGATTTTCATCATGGTCTGATGACTTCCCTTGATCAGTCTTGCTCTTTGCCTTTTCCTTTCACAGATATCCCTCCATAAGAAAATTTTACACCTTGTTTCTGTCTCAGCAACTGCTTCCAGGGAGACAACTGACATGCTGGTACCAAGAATGATCAAAAAAAGCAGGTGGTTACCTGCAATTCTGAGACTGGACCCCTCATTACTTGAATGGCCAAGGAGAGCACACTGTAGATGCTATAAGAGGCACAATTAGTCGATGGCACAATACAGTAGCTCAACTGCTAAAACTTTTCACTGGTAGAGAGCACTGGAATATATACTAGTAAGGGAGAGTTTATTGACTTTGGGACACTCTCTGGGGATGTAAGATTAAAGATTCTGGAATGGATCCAAGGGGCTGGAAAAATTTGCTGCTAGGGTGAGTATAAATGCTTGGAGAGTAATGGTCCACAAAGAAAATTAAAGTGGTTTAATTGCCATAGATGACCATGGAAGAAAGACACAAAAAGCCCTGGAAAGTGGAAATGAGAATCTGAAGACAGAAAGCCTTGCAGGAAATTATCTTCCATACATGGGCAGAGGACATGTTATTCCCCAGGACCACTGGGAAGGTGTTAGATAGTGAGGTAAATCACCAAGATGTCCACTGCCGGCTCTTCTCTACAGATCATGGCTAGGTTATCAAGGAACTTGGATCATTAGTAACAAGAAGAATTATAGGGCCCTAAAGGAAAAGAGGTTGAGGCCTTGGTGGTCAAGAGATTATCTTTACCACCCATTTTATAACCATTCCAGGCCAATGATGACTGGCAGGTAGAAACCTGTAACCCAGTGGACAGAACTGTGTTTCAGCTTATGATGAAACAGCTTGGTGCACCACTGAGATTCAGGCACAATCCAGTTTAGCATCAGTTTCCGTGGCTGAAGGACTGCTTTCATTAATTCTATTCCAACCTTGTTCAGGAAAGCATGGAATAGGACTCCACTCACTGAGGATAGGACATGACTTTGTCCTGGAACTTAGAACCAAGCTGGTTGTCTTAGTTACTTTTCTCATTGCTGAGACAAAATACCCAATATCCACAAGTTAAATGAGGAAAAGTTTACTTTAGCTCATAGTTCATAGAGGTTTCAGTCCACAGTTGGCTGGTTCCAAGACAAGGCATCATGGCAGAGGGACGTGATAAAGGAGAAAGAGTTCATGGTGTGGCAGGCAGGAGGGCTGCCTTTTTTCTGTCCCTTTATATTCCATCCAGGCTTCAAGCTTGTTGATTGGTGTCACCCACAACTATGCTAAACCAATGTATTTATCACATAGCTTTAATCCCAGTATTGCACACCCTAATCAAGCATCACGCACCCATGACCCAGCCACCTCCCAAAAGCCCCACCTATGAGTATATGAGGTTTTTGAGAGGGGGCCTCTATATATAAGCCATCACACTGGTCAACCTAAGATTGGGAAGACTGTAATGACCACTCCTAGGCCCACCTACATTCAGAGCCTCTTAAAGAATCCCAGTGCTATAGGGAGCAGCTGAAACTGGAAATTGGTCATATGTGTCAAGGCAAGACAAGGCCAAAGTGCCTAAGGCAGTCAAGCTATCTCAGTCTTGAGGAAAAACATTTGCCTGAAAGAATTCCAGTCATTAGCGGGGAGGCAACGATGTGTCTCATGATACTTACCTTGCCAAAGTATAAATAAACACTCCTACTCTTGTTGTTCAGTTCTTCTCCTCCCATCAGGAGAGAGAGGACCTAAACCTGACCTCAGCTTTGTCTCTTGTCTATATTTTCCTCATCCCACCACTGTTTCTCCCCAGGACTATTGATAGTCATGCAGGTTGCAACATAATACCAGGGAAAGTCACACAGTCCACTCTGTCAGGCTTCTGTTCTATCCAACATCACCTGTGTCTGGTTATAACTATCTTGGGCTATCCTGCTAACTGAGCAATAAGCAGCCCATAGCAATGTGGTACATTGTCCTTCTCCAGTGCTGCGCAGGTCTTGGTAAGCTGTGGGCTCAGGATATGCATGGTTGATGGTCATAGGAATGGCATAAGAGCCTGGAAATCCTATATTCATGTGATTCTGCCCAGAGCTTGATAGAATTCCACAGTGCTTAACTATAAATCAGTACT